ATTGCGAATTATACGAATACGGGCAATTCTTTTAGGATTGAAGAAGAAAATTTGATCGGCTATTGCACCAATGGATTAATTGAAGCGGAATTTTTGAAGAATGAGCTAATGCTTGAAGTTAGCCGATGGAAACGGAGCATTATAATGGACAAGCGCATGACATTTTGCGGTATGCCTTCGTCGAAATTTTGCTTTATAAACTACAGTTACTGGAAATCATGCTTTTTTTTTTGTAAGCATGCAGTTAGTGGGTTTATTGCTGTGGTAAGGCTCAAACTGGCTGGCTCGATTTCTTGTTGGGGAACCGAGCTCTGTACACCAACTTGATGGAAAATATCGCTTCGAAGAGGGGAATACTTGTTCATCTTGTCAACGGCTGGCTGCTCTTATCTGTTACCAAGGCATTTTCGAATGCTTTCTTCTGTCCGGGAGAGTGAAAATATGGGCGGAAATGGGGGAATTTCGGTTTATCCTAAATTGTTCAAGCGATCATTGTTATTTGATAAAGAAGTGTGTTTCAGATCAGATTAGCACTCTGAAGGAGTATTTGAAACATGTGAAAGCTGGTCGAAAGTGTTTCTTCCATGTGGAGGTTTTGAACGAAATTCTCGCTCGAAAATTGCGCAAGAAGCGCAGACAAGAAACAACGCAGGCCGGCATCATCAGCAATGCGACAGCGGATACTTCCAGTGCATCCTTAGCAGCACCGTGTAGTGACGAAGATTGTTCAAGAATGGACATTACTGCATCCGACGATAGAGAAATGATTAGCAGTCACTGTATCGAAGCAGCGAGGAGCGATGAGCCGAGTTCTAACAGTCGCGTTGAGTACGGTGTGGAAGCGCTCAAAAATCTGATCGAGTCCCGGATACCGCTTTTCGATGAAAGCAAAGGACAAAAGTTTTCCAGAAAACTGTCAAAAATTATGAGCAGAGAGGAAAAACTGGAAGCACTGCAGAAGTTGGTCGAAAAAATGATATCCGGGCTAGAGGGCGAACAGGAAAGAAAGACGAATAAGAAGTAT